TAGGAAATTTTGTGATTATCACAAAATTTTGTGGCATTTGTGATATTTTGCGAAACGCCATAAATCATCGTCCCTGGGCCAGTGTATAACTTCGATCATCATGGCGCAATATTGATTATGTAACTGTGGCTATTACGCTCCGTCAAAAAAAATTGAACGTCGCGTCACAAAATTTTCTACGTTTTTCGAAAACAAAATGCCCATTTCAAAAACCCTAAAAAGCGGCTACCAAGCCACTTAAACAAAACACACCTAACAACACATTGAAGAAGTTGTAGCCTCGTCAAGTAGAGCCAAGAAAAAACAGTTGAAGAAATATATCAAAGAATCCAATTGAGCATGTCTTACTGAGACCCGACTTTTATGTTGGTTTACTTGAATCTTAAAAGAAAAGGGATGGGTTTTTGATTTTGAAATGCAAAGGCTTATTTACAGGTAATTTTTTTGAGGTTTACAACACGTCTTACATAATATCCTTAAGTATGTATTCACATCTAATATATCTTTCTTCTTATAGAGAAATTACCTATGTACCTGGATTATATAAAATAGTGGATGTATCTTAGTAAACGCTGCTGACAACAAGGTACTTTATTATAAACGTCTATTAGTTACTTTGATCGTTAAGTTGTGTGTTGATTATTTAAAATTTTTTTCGTTAATGTCAGGTTCGAAACGATAAAATGAACCTTATTAAAGTTTTTATTGACGAATAAGGACGTCAAATTTCCATCTTTAATAACGGAAAAGGAATCCCTATTGAATGCACGAGGATGAAAAAGTCTCAAATCTTTTCGCAGCTTCCAATTATGATGATGAGGAAAAGAAAGTTTCCGGTGGTCGTAATGGTTTCGGTGCTAAATTAGCAAATATATACAAAACTGACTTCATCTTGGAAACAGTTTCAAATGACAAAAATATCGCCAAACTTTATGATCGTAATCGAACAACCAATTCTCACTACTTGTTCCGAAAATGCTGTGACTACACGTGGGTCATCTTTAGGCCCGATCTTCAAAAATTTAAGACCCGGTTTGATGATGACATAATTTCCCTCTTAGCATACGATTTGGCGGGGTGTTAAGGAAGTTCAAAAGTTCTTGAATAATGTACAGTTAACGTCAATAATTTTAAAGAATACATACAATTGTATTGTGAGTGATCGCGAAGACTTGCAATCTTCATTAGTATATGATAAATTAGGGCCCTTCCTTCTACTGATTCTCAATTCCATCATGTAAGTATTTAGTTCTTTTTTTTTTCCTTGATCTTGCATTAAATGGTTATGCGAAATTCGTATAATTCTAATTTTATTTCGTTATTCTTCATTCAAAAATAATAGATAAGTTTCGTTAACAAAATATGTACTACGAAAGGAGGTACCCAAGTTAATTATTTCGCAGATCAACTTGCTGAAAGAATCATAACAACGGTCAAAATAAGTATAAGAACGCAAAAATAAAAAAGAACCACATCAAAAAATCTCATAAACTGTTCGATTGAAAACTCATCCTTCGATTCTCAGACGTAAGAAAATCTTATATTATAAGCCACATTATTTGGATCTACATGTGATCGAAGTGACGCCTTCTTTAATAAACGTAAGTATTTGTACTATTCTTAGCATATCATATAACTTTTGTTTTATACTTTAAAATATTTATACACATGAACCTTTGATTTTCTCTAGTTCTCAAATGTGGTATCATTGAACACATTCTGGATGAAGTTAATTATAAACTAAATAAAGAATTAAAGAAGACAGACAGAAAAAAAGTGCAAGAAGTAAGTAAATTGATTGTTGGGGGATTGATTAAAAAATTTTTTCGTTAATTAGATTCCGAAATATCTTTAATAGAATCACTGGTATTTTTGAAATTGGAAGATGCAATGAACGCTGACGGTATAAATGCTAAGGACTGTACTTTATTTAATTCTTACCGAATGTGACTCTGCAAAAACTTTGGCAGTTGCCGGGCTTTCCGAAGTTGGACGTGATAAATATGGAATTTTCCCACTCCGGAGAAAACTTTAAATATTCGTGAAGGTATACAGTCCCTGATCATGAATAACTCGGTGATTCAATTTATAAAGCAACTCCTTGGACTGAAAGAATATACATCAACGAGTGAATTACGCCAACAAGCGAATTGCGGTATGGGCATCTGATGATCATGACGGATCAAGATCACGATGGAAGCCATATAAAAGGATCGATAATCATTTCCCGCCTTGCTAAAATTTATGGGAATTCATTACACCGATCGGAAATCATTAAATCACGCTATAAATAGAATAATCATGAAATCCAATAATAATGTATCAAAATTATTAGTATATCGAAGGGTGAATAAAGAGATGTCATTCTTTATCATGCCTGAAATGAAAATCGGAAGGAAATGGCCCCTAATGCTAAAATTGGAGGTCAAATATTACAATGTAATTTCTTTGAAGATAATTTTACAACAATTGACTTTACTAACTAATACTGTTATATTATTATTCAGTTTCTAGGGTCTTGGCACTTCTAATAATACCCAGGAAGTCAAAAAATATTTCATAAGTTTAAAGAACCTTTAGAGCTCTTCAAGAAGATGAACGATTTGGCCTTTAATAAAAAGATAGCTGATGATCGCAAGAAATGGCTAAGTAGTTATGAAGTTTGTATAGATTTTTTTTCTGTTTCCTTGATTCCAATCAGAATGTAACCTCTTTAACGAAAATTCACATTCCAAAAATTTATATTCTTCCAGCCCGGTACCTACATGAATCCTGATGAGGAAGAAATCATGATAAAGAATTTTATAAATAAAGAGTTGATCTTGTTCATAATGAACGTTTGATTCCAAATGTTCTCGACGGATTAAACCTGGCCAGAGAAGAAAAAGTACAAGAACGAAATTAAAGTTTCTTCGTTAGCCGGGGCTGTTTAAGAACAAGGGACATATCACCATGGTGATGCAAGTCTTCAAGGTCCAATCATCGCAATGGCTCACGATTTTGTCGGTTCAAATAACATCATGGTGAAGGTCAATTTGGTATAAGGGCTCAAGGAGGAAAAGATGCAGCTAATGCTCGTTATATCAGCGTTGCCATGCCAGCATTGATTCGAAAAAGATTTCATCCTCATGACTCATTACTAACATATTGTAATTATGACGGTCAGCTGGTAGGACCAGAATGGTATTTCCAATTCTGCCAATGATCCTTGTTAATCCGAGGGTATTGGAACCGGTGAGTTTATTTAACAACCGGCATATTAGGTATTTTGCAAGACGTATAATAATATTGATTTTTCTTATAATTATTAGGTTAGAGTTCATTTATTCCAAATTACAATCCTCGCGATATCGTTAATAATTTAAACGATTAATTAACAATGAAAAGCCAATTCCAATGCATCCCTGGTATTGTGGGTTCCAGGTAACATTATTATAATCATTTAATAGAATCCTCTAACAGACTTTTGATTGGTCAACTATCTTTCGGTTAATTATCTTTTGGTTAATTAACCAAGTTAACTAACGCCCATCCCTAATTCTTGAACACCATCCAATCAAAATTCAGCTTCCTTAAGCGTTTTTTTTTAAAACAAAAAAATATATTTTCTTCTAAAATAATATCATGAGATTTTACATTTGAAATTCTTATTAACAGTAAGGTTTATATTTAAAAAAAATTCACGTACTAAAACACGAAACTTAAATTAAATTTATTTTTTTAAAGATACAAAGTTGGTATCTTATTCGCAAGAAGCTATTGATAAAAGAAATGTTCTAAAAAGAAAGTAATAACGGGTTATTAACTTTTATATTTATCATTTTTTTTTTTTGTTACATCAAACTTATGATTATTATATTTTTTTTATTTTTTTTATATTTTTAGTAAATATGTGACTTATTTTGCAGTTCCGGAGTTTTCCAGTCATTTGCTATTAGAGTTGGAGAAGTAGATTCCGCTTTTTAGACATTTTTAGGTTTTGCTCGACTTGTTTTAGGAGCATGATGTGAATATTACACTTCAAAGAGTATCTATGAACTCAAATGACGTGTACAAAAGATTTATTACAACAAATTCAGTGTTCGGAATTATCAATTCTTGAGTGTTCACAGACTCGACTTGGAAAAGTGTCAGTTATGTTGTTAATGTCGTTCATAGTACAATAACATGTCAACCAAGCGGCAACACGCTTGAGGGAGTTTGGATATTGGTTGTTTGATCGATATCTTCACCTTTGAGGCGCCAAAGGTTTCAGAGGATAAGGCATGCGCTCGAATATTACGAGAATAACCCATGATTCCAGTTAAACCGTGTAAAGTTTGTGTTAGAGATCGTCCTAGAGAGAAGTAAAGAAGTACTTCTTTCTCTTGTTTAAGGGTACAAATAGGATTTTGTCTGGTGTGGGTAAACGTTAACTTGTAGGAGGCTTCCTACAATTAATGTGACAATTCTCGTCGAGTGATTCAATTAACATTCTGGATGAAAGATTGTGAGATGTCACGTAAGTTTCGTTGTGTAGGTAATCAATAGAGGCGTTATTAATTGACCAAGACGTTTTCTCAAAGTATAGAAGGTTTCCGCGATAGATACAAGCCATTGTGACAAAATTTTTTTTTTGAATTTTTTATAATCTTTGGTTTACGTCACCAAGATTCGATGGTGGTAATCTCGATTAGAGAGGCAGTCCGAAATTTTATACTCGGTATCAAACGTATTGATACTATAATACGGTAAGTCATCATAAAGTTTTTGTTTTTTCAGTTTTAAAAATTTTTTCATTTATTAATCAAGAAATATTATTATCATTATAATGGATCAATTTAGGAAATATATACATATTTTTTTTTGAATTCAATTCTTAATTTATTAGTAGCAATTTAAGGCATAGAGTCAAACATTATTTTAAAAAATATTCTTTTTTTGATTAAATATATTGCAAATTTATAGTTCAATATTAGGTAACGACATCAAAACGAGAGAACAGTGTATTGAAAATCCAACTCTACTCGGCTTGCCAATTATCCTTTTAAGTTGAGACATGATGGATTAAATACTCCTGATCCAAGCAAACATTACACACAGAGAACTTACAAATTTTTTTTTAATAAAAGTTGCCTCCCGAAATTCGGAGGCGACTTTTATTAGTTTAAAAATGCAATTTGCCTTTATAGGTTGTGTAGGGCAGTGATGTACATTTTTGATGTCCCAGAGATTTGTTGTCCCAGCTATATGTCCCAACCTGTCCCACACTATATCCCAAATGTCCTATCTGTCCCATCAGTGTCCCATCAGTGTCCCATCAATGTCCCATGACAACACTGGTGTAGGGTCGTCTTGACGAGGACTATGCGCTTTTTTTTATTTAATTGTACAAAATTATTATTTGAATAAAACTATTAAATAGATCTTTTTTAAGATAAATAAAGTGATCCTTATAACTAACTATCTATAATGCACGATTTCCTTCAGTTCGAACAGTAATAGATTGATATGGTGGACCGGCGGCCTCACCATACAAAAACTCATGCATTGTGAATTCCCTTCCAAAATTAAATCTCATTCATTCATCGTCTCGTCCCGTCTCTATTATGTTTTCTACTGTCCCAACTGTCCCAGAAACCTCTTTACTAATAAACTATATACACTTCTTCTCCAAAATTCCATCCTTGGTAGGGGAAATATCTATTGGTTTCGAAAAACCAATTCCGTCTGTTGCAGTTATTTTTACACCGTTGGATGAAATCTCCACGTACATTTCTCTATCTTTGATAGTTTAATAGTGCGAATAGTGTGAAAAAGAGTGAAAAAGAGTTAAAAGAGTCTCGTAAAATAAACCTTAACTATATACAAATTCTACACAAAATGTAAAACAAACCTTAATTATTCAATCCTTTTCCAAAAAGCTTGCGACTTTCGCATTCGCTTAGAAAGATAAGATTTATAGTTTTAAAAACTGGATAATTGAACATATATATACTGTTTAATTTTAGAGTTGTCAGTAAATGACAAGGAACATGTATGTATTGTTTAGTAACGTCAGGAATATACATTTTTTTTTAAAAAAGAATTTTGAGATTTTTTTTTTTTTTTGTTTTTTTTGAAATTTTGACAAATCGAAAGTCCGCAGAATTAAAAATAGAATTATCCCATTATAGTCCGATCTGCATTATATTTTATAATGCAATAAAAAGATATATCATTTTAATTTTTATTTTACCCGAAAAGTGATATATTTAGCCTAGGTTAGATTTGATTTTGGGGGAGTGCAAGGTCGGTTTTCTTTAAAATTATAGTTTTAGACGAGAATTTTGCTTTCTCTTGTGATTTGTATTTTATTTTATTAAATGTATAAATAGTTTAGTTTTATCATAATAAATACTTAGCACTTTATAAAAAAAAAAAAAATCATTTTAATTTTTATTAACTGAATACGTGGGCGTATGGTCAATCGATCTATCAATCGGCATTAATCATGTCTAAATACTGGGTTTTAAGAACAAATAGAAGCAAATGAAGCCAGGGATTAATAGAAACTTGGCCTTCGCTGACAGGTCTGTAATGGATACTATCTCACATCTTAAAATTCAGGGGTCCTTACACAAGTAAGGAAGTGATTAACCAGTAATTAGTAAATTAGGTATCACATCAAGGTTAAAGTATCTCACGTGGCTATGGTGATAATAGACTGCATTATACTACTGCAGCACTATCCAATTGAGCTGTCACTTGAGGTATAGGTCAGGTTCAATTTTCAGGTAAATTTGATGATATGGGTATAACAACCACCTACCTTTCTGAAGTTCTATAAAGATGATAACATCTAAGCCTTCCTGATCATGTGTAAAAATACCCTGATACTGAGCAGAGGTAATAGTGATCCAGATATGGTGTTGGTAAGTATAGAGAAAAATTGACAAAGTACCTGTGACTGAAAGTGATCTCTCTATCCAAATTTGACAGTAGTTCTGAGGTCTAGGGATCCTAGGGGTTAGCTTTTGGGGATGTTGACCTAGGTGATAAACTTCAGACTAGTATCAACAGACGGGTTCTGATTAAAACTTATGTCTAATCATGACCTTAAGGGTCTTAAGATTTAGGTGTAAATGTGATTACTTGATGATCTTTAATATCGCCGTTAATAATCACTATATAGATTTTTAGTGTTCAGGTACTAAAAATTAAAAAAAAAAAATCATTTTAATTTTTATTGAAAAAAGATTAAGATAAAAAAAAAAACTTTTTCTGCTAATCCAACATGATAAGAAAGACAACATCAAAAATCAACAACCGTAATTGCTCTACGTTATCAGTAAAAAATAAACTGCTACAAAAAAATACTACTTAAATAACAGAATAAGAAATCATTACTGAAAGTTCTTATATTACCCAACCTCATGTAGTCATTATAGAAATTTACCAAACCTCTAAAAATACACCTTTGCCTTTTGATAAAGAGAAGGCTAAAGTCACTAACATCATAACAGACAATAATAAAAAAGATAAAATGAATGTCAATAGTTCATCTGACATATCTAAAAATATTATTGATAAAATTTCATTGTGTATCCTATAAATATTGCTTCAATTACTTTTTTTTGCAGGTATTACACATGAAAAACATCTTGCTAATCCATTTACTAACATTTTCAAAGTTGCTTTTCTAGACTCTAAGGAATGTGATGATTTTTGCAAAATGCAAATTCCTAATATAAACAAGGTCATATTCTTATCTTATCATACAGAAATTGCATCCTTTTATACTAGCATAATTGATCATAGTAACTGAAACCCGTTAGGTGTTACAGTTACATAAATCAAAAAATTTTTTTCGTTACAAAAATATTGTTTAATATATTATAAAAACTCGTAATTTATGATAATGTGCTACCATTACTTTTGACGAAAAAGCTAAATTTGAACTACTAAAGAGATAGATAGTTTACTACTAATCATTAACTCCATTCATATCCATATGTGCAATCTGAATAGAAAAGAAATTCAAAATCGCTCTAAATTCTCTATTAAACTCACTAATCTGCTAAGAAGAACTATGGAATATAATCTTTTTGACATCAGTTGGATAGTTAATGCTATTGCATGATTATTTTACATGCAAAATCTAATTATAATTACCTTTAACATATTTATTTTACTTTTGTATAACTGAAGAAGCTGAAATTACTCTCACAGCAAACAATCTAATCCTTAATAATAAAAATTCGAATAGACTAATGTAAAACTAAGTTCTATGTCATCTGTTCATCTATATATCATAATGCGCTATCCTATTTCAAAAAAAGAAATATACCTAAAAACAGAAATACTCATCTCTATTAATGCTTTCAGCCTGATCAATTTAATAGTTATACAGTATTAGTCTTTCTTTTAGTTTTTAATTTGCAAAACAATTTTCTAACATAATTCTAAATTTGATCGAGTTATTTATGTAAAACTACAATTCTCTGATAAACAAATCTTTTCATCATTAATGTTTACATCTCTTCAGAAAAAAATAAGGATAATATTTCTAACCAAATCCTAATATACATTATTCAGCTTTTTGATGAAGTGATTATAAATAATTATCATATCATCCTCCTTAGTGATTTCAATGTAGATATTGATTAAACAACTAATAATTCATCACGAACGATTTCATTTATTAATTCATTAAATTACTATAACCTTTTTGATTCATTTACTATTTATATAATATTAATCATTCAAATTTTATATTTTATCATAACTAATTATCCTCACAAATTGATTATATCTAGATGACTCCTAAATTTATGTTAAATCTGCTTAAAGCAAATATGTTATCTGTTGATAACCATATTACTGACTATTATATTATTATTACTAAATATTTTAATTTCCTTAATATTACTACTAACAATCATAAATGTTCTACTAAATTATCTTTTAATTTTAATAAAATGGATTCAAAAAATGAGCATAATTTAGAGATAAATTTGACCACTCCATAAATAATTATGCCTTAAAAAGTATCTCTTTTTCTACAGCCTGGTTCTAAACTGTTTTGAATCATTACTGAAATCTATTTTAAGATACCTTAATCATAATTACTAATAAATATATATCAGTCACAAATATAATGTTCGTCATTTTACTAAACAGCCTGTAGCAATATCTACATTGTATATCAACATCAAGACTTTATAAAAATTTTCTAAATCATCAAAAAAAATGTCTTGATAGCAATTTGGTCTCCTTAAAGTGATTTAATCTTTATGATTAATTTTTAAACATTGTTTATAAAAGCTCTTTACACACCGTTTCAATGGGATCTTTTCTCAATAATACTTATATTAAATCAATCTTACTTAATATTCGAATGTTATTTATTAGGTTACAAATAAAAGATAAGCTTAAAGAATAAGAGTTTAAATTATCAAGTATATAATAAGCCCTACAAAATAAAATTGATAATTATAAAATTAATTCCGCAAAAATGATTAATTTAGTTTTAAATAAAAGAAGAAAACTAATCATCTTAAACAGGTGTTTTGATAATACCAGTTCTCTACCTACTTTACTCACTGATGAATTAGATGTCTAAAAAGAAGTAGTCTAATATTTCTAACATATAGCTAATATGACATATGAATATAAACCAATTCCTGACAAGTGACTGCAAATTTATTAACCTTTAACAGAAATCAATTCAGTTATTTACAATCATTTGACCTTTATACAGCCAACTGATGAATGGTATCATATTATCAATCAGCTCTTAAACAATAAAGCATCTGAACTCTCAAAAATTTCTAACAAAATACTTAAACACTTTGGATCTATAGGAAAAAAAATCCTTTAATACATTATTTGTGATTGTTTATGTATCTCTTCAATTTCACAAGATGAAATATGACTTATGTCTATTCTATTCCTAAACTGAAACTATGACAAATTTCTCTCTATTTCTTAATCATAAATCTCTTTAATTTAGTAAGATTTTTTAGCATTCAGCATTTAAAATTCCCTTTAACAATAGCTCATAAATTTTCTATCAGATTTAAGTTAAGACTATTTGAAGATCAATCTATGACTTTCAGAACATTATTTTAGAAAAAATCTTTAATAAGATAATTCGTATGTTTTGAATCATTGTCTTACTAAAGACGTTAATTATCTCTGAGCATTTTTTTAATTTCTGAGATATAATTCTTTAGAATTTCAACATAAAACTCAGTATTCATAATTTAGCAAAAGCAAAATAAACTTGTTTTGCCTATAATACAAAACCTATCTTATGTAAAAATTTTTGTTCTATCTATTGATATGGAATGTATCGGCTAAATTCCTTTATGTTAATACTTCACTATATTCTAAAAGAGTTGAAAGGCTGTTTCATCTAAAAATAAAGTTTTGTTCCAATTATTATTGATGTATCATTACATCTATTTAACCTATTTCTGCTTATGAATAGCAATCAGTATTAAAGTCACTTTTGAGAGTTAGATTGTAATAAAGAATAGAATTTGAGGTATATTTTATTCAAAGTAATTTGATAATTTTCA